CTGCGGGCGGGGAGAGGCGGCGGCTGGCCCCGCTGCAGGAGAAGACGGGGTGCAGGAGAGGATGGGGCGCAGGAGGGCGAGCGGAGCTTGGCTGCTGTCAGCCAAGGGGAAGCCACGCCAACCAGCTGCCTCCCCGCCACGGTTTCCTGAGAAAAATCCCATGCGAGTTTCCTCCCTTCCTTCCCCAAAGGCTCCGTCCATCACAGCCCAGCACCCTCCAAGAGCTGTGGCCAGCCCTGAGCGGGGACTGGGAACTGCCTGGGGTTTTCCTCCCAGCACCTTTTGCGAAAGGCACAGGGTGGGTGGTCAGCAGGGCAGAGGCTTTGAAAAGAAAGGGAAACTGAGGCACAGAGGACCGAGACACAGGAGAGCCAAGCTTAACTGATGTCTCAGGCGGGCGATGCAAACAGGGAGGGGGTCCCTGGCTTTGATTTCTGGTTAGAACACACCCCATTCCATCAAATATATATCCAAAAAATACGGTCCAAGGTGGGAGACAGGAGAGGGGGCTGCTCCGGAAAGCCTCCCCAGCCCCTGCCTGGCAGCTCATGTGGCTCCTGGAGAGCGAGGACGTGGCGGAGCGGCAGCTCTCCGCGGGGTGAGGACTCCAGAGCTGCCTGAGCTCGTTAGGGGCTGTAAATGAGACTCCTCGTTAGCTGTGCCAGCAAGGGGACCAGCTCTGCAGTCCGGGGGGGTGCTCCCAGGAAAGGGGGGAGGAAGCAGGACGGCTCCATCTCCCCAGTGCTCCTCTTGGGAACCCAACGGCAGCGGTTCCTCCGCAGCACGTGTTTCCCTGTGCTGGCTGCCGCTTCCCCAGGAGCCCGTGTGCGTGCTGGAGGTGCGAGAAGGGCTCCGGGAAGAGGTTTCCTGAGGACAACCTGGCTCCGGGATGGATGCAGGATGCAGGCAGGGATGCGGGGCGGAGGGGTGCGCACAGCACAGAGGGGGGGTGTGCACAGCATGGATAAGAGGAAGGGGGTGGCCGTGGGGAGCCCCTGGGTGCAGGTGTCGCCCACAGCGGCGGGGGAACGATGCCGCCCTGCTTTGGAGGAGGGCCGTGGGGTTTTCCCGGCGCACAGGCCTGGTGTGCCGGCCCTCCACCTCACGCCGAGGTAGGTGAGTCGGTGCCGTTGGTTCAAGTATGAAGGAATCCAGAGGCGAGGGTTTGGGGCGCGTGCGTGGGAACGATGCGGGGAGAGGGCTCTTACAGCTGCCTTTACGTTCTCTTTAACAAATGTAAAGAGCAGGCAAAAGCCACTTTCAATAATTTATTTTAAAATCAATGCTAATGAGATTCTGTCTCGTCAGCGGCCGAGTTTTACAATAAAGTCTGATTTATTTAGAAAAGATTTTTGGTGCCGCTTCCCGTCTAATGGGGGAGCAGTTGCAGTGACCCTCCGACTTGGGATGCAATTTGTAATCGGCAGCGGAGGAATGACCTGGTTTGCATTGATCAGCGCCGGGCGGGAGAGACGGCACGGGCTGGGGCTGTGTCCTCGGCAAGTGCCCTGGGATCAGCAGAAGGCCCCGGCTTGGCTTCTGTTGGCTCTGCCTAAAGGTGACAGCAAAGTCGTGTCCCCCGAGACGCGATGGCGACATCTCTTCTGCACCAGGCAGAAGGCGGCTGCCCCGCGCTCCCCAACAGCCCTTGGCCAGCAGCCGCGCACGAGGTGCAGCTGAGCAATTCGCTTTCTGAAACCTTTCGGAATTGGGGTTTATTTATTTATTCTGTTATTAGGCTGCTTCTGGTCTTTATGGGTGCAGAAGGGAGCCTGAGCTGTGATGGCAGCTAACGTGGGTGCTGTGCACCAGACTCATCCCAGCGCCCAGAGCAGCTCAGCACACCAGACTCATCCCAGCACAGCTCAGGCTGGAGGGGTTATACCTGGCTTGGTGCTAAATAATCTTATTTAAACTTATTTCTGTGTAGATCCTTGCTCCCATCAGTCTCTAGCCATTTTCACAGGGCTTTCCCGTGGCTTCCAGCCCCTCTGTCCTTAACTTTTTCCATGGTATCATTTCTTACTGTTTTCTTGTATCCTCTTTCCCCATCCTCCGGAGCCGTGCCAGCCTGCCTGCCCTCCGCTGCCCGGGGTCCTCTTTCTCCTCCTTAATTTCTGCTTCTGTCCCCCGCCCTTCCTCGCATTTCTGTCCTGGTGTTTCTCCTCGGCGTCACGTTTTCTCTGGGCTGCGGGTCCCGCACAGGAAGCGTCTCTTCCTATAGGGCACTCGGCAAAGTGCTGCCTAAATTTATGAGGCTATAATAAGTGATTTGTTTTTACCCGTGTTAACAACATTTCATATTTTTATGCAACACGTTTTAAAATATTATCTGTGACTTCCTCCCTTACACTCTTCACAATTAAGCCGGGAATTTATTATTCTGACAATCGGATGCTCTCGCCGCCCTCTGCCTGCCTGGGGGTTTGGTGTAGCAGTAACGCTCACAGCCCTTCCCCTGACTTCTCGGCTCTGCTTCTCCCCCCTAGATGAGGAGCTGGAGCCCCCCTTCCCAGAGGACAGCGAGGATGCCGGGAGCAGACAGAGGAGCGGTAAGAGCCCACCCTCCTTTGGCCAACCCAAAGGACCCCCAAGTCATGGTTGGGGGGGGTTGAGTTCGGCTGCCGTTGAACGTCCTGGGGTGTGGGTGGTGGTGGAGGGCGTGTGGAGGAAGGAGAGGCCCCAAGAGCAGCCCGGTGGGTGACGGAGGAGACTCTGCAGCTGGTGAAGTTCAGATAACTCGGGTTGGGGAGCTCTCCCCATCTTCTCCGTGCTACGGGCACGGGGGACGCCTCTCCTTTTTGGACAGGCACCCCATGGCGGGGATGGCCTTAGTGATCTCTCCACGGAAGAGCCCCAACATCCATCCCCCCTCCTGCCTGATGAGACCCGTGTGCCGAAGGATCTCCCATGGAGGCACTCCCATCCCTGTCCCTCATCCCATTCCGGACCACGGAGGGGGAGCCAGCCCTCCCGGCGCATCCCGAGGGGCCGAGGAGAGGAGCTGGGGCAGAAACAGCCTTGGAGCGAGGGCAGGAAGCGCATCATGGCCCAGAGGAAGCCGCCGCAGGGAGGGAACTCGGCGCGGGAAGCTGGAAGAATGTGCACCACCACCACCCCAGGAACCAGCGCCGTCTGCCCGGAACCGGCAGCCCCAGAGCCTGCCGTGGTCACCAGGGCCCCCACCCCTGCTTTTTCCTTAAGGACCTGCACCGTGGGACAGGGGCGGAAGATCTGTTTCCTCCCCGTTCCCACCTGCTTTACTTTCCATCGCCGTTTCCGTGCCGGCGCAGGAAAGCGGCGCTGATGTCCTCGCAGCCGGGGCTCGACTGCCCAGGGGCTTCCTCCTGCCCTGCTCGCTCCTCACCACACGGGAAAACGTGTCCTCCTGGCAAAGCCCAGCTCGGGAGAGCTTCCCGTGCCATCCTCCCACTCCAGAGCTTGGAGGGGACGGTCTCGCCCCGGTGACGCCCGGCTCGCAGGGTGCTTGCCCAGACGGGAACCCACAGTGGGCATCCCGCTTGTTGGGTGATGAAGACCGGAGGGGTTCGGGGTTGGATGCTGTGGGTGGTGGGTGGCTGAAGTGGCTTCGCACATGCTTGTGCTTTCTTGAGTGCACGAGCACCACCAGCATCGCTCAGTTTACCCCCCTCCCGAGAGCCCCCGTGCCCAACTTCCCGGTGTTTCTGGAAAGCCTGATCCAACGGTTCCCTTTGGCCAACACCAAACCCCCTTGCATGTTCCCAGCCCAGTTGCCCCAGCCCAGGAGGCTGCTCAGACCTGTTTCTGCTGAAATTTTGGCAGCACAGACAGGATTGAGTCCCAGCTGCTTGCAGGAACCGGAGCAAGGCAGCGTTTCTCCGCTCCTCGTGGTTTTGCGGAGCTTGTTTCCCACCCCCCGGCACGATGACTTATTTGGCCACTGGAGCATGTGGCAGCTGCAGCCGGTACCAGCACCCGGAGCTCGGAAAAAAATGACGTCCCGCTCTTTATAAACTGTACTGTGGTCACAAAGCGGGGCGGCACGCTTTTCCCGGAGACTCCTCGGCACGGGGTAAGGAAAGCAGAAGGCGATGGGACGCGCATGCGCTCACACACGTTTTTCTTTGCCTTTCCCAGCGTTTTTAAACATCCAAAGGACCAGGTGGCAGAAAAGCAGCTTCCCCGGGGGTTTTCCAGCTCGAGGTGGGGCTCAGCGGGGAGCAGAGCACGGCTTCGTGCCAGGCTGGGGCCAGAGGTGATGACGAACCTGCCCCCCAAAGCCACCCCGAGGATTTTGGCTCTCGCCTGTCACAGCCCTGCCAGCCGTTTGAACACCCTGCTCAGACTCATTAGCATCTGCCTGGCGGTGGTAATTGTTGTTAATCGCTATAACTGGTTCGGTTATTAGTATTGCCATGATGGCTTTCAGTCCTGCGTCCTGTTTTTACAGTAAATAATAGATTAGACTCTCGCCTCCGAAAAGCTGGGCTGCGTTTCAGGAGGGAAAGGTCGTCACAGAACCCCAGCCCTCGCGCCTTTTGCCTTGGAAATTTGTGCTTCTGTCCAACCGGACCAAGGGCAAGAAAGATGATGGGGGTCCTTGAGCAGAGGGCCTGGCTGCAGGGAGGGAGGGAAAGGGCTCGCTCTTAATTGTATCACCGGGCCGAAGGCGCCAGATGAGCATTTGGCTAATGGAAAACTGTTGTTTCTCATTTCTGAGAACCACAAGGATGCCACGATGCTGGAGCAGCCCAGCAAATCCAGCTGAGAGCTGCAGGCTGCTCCTGCCAAGACGTCCATTTGCTCCTCTCAAGGCTGCTTCATCCCTGCCTTCCGCGCCGGACTGGCTTTGGGGCTGCTGCTGCAGCATGGACGGGCCGGTCGCGAACAAACCGAGCAAAATTCCTCTGCTTAGAAAATACAAAAGCCTGGCAGCCTGCCTCCTGTCACTGCTTCGCCTGGCAGGAGGTTTCACCTAGCGGGAGCACCGCAGTGAAAACGCCTGAGCTGCAGACGGTTGTCATTAGGCTTCAGCATCAACAGCCTTCTGAAGGAACGCGCCCGAAGCGAAGGGGTTGGGGCGGATCGTGCCTCTCCCGCAGCCTCTTCTTGGGGCTGCTCAGGCCGCAGAAGAAAATGATGCGGTTGTCACATTTGGCTGGTTTTCTTCATGACCCCAAGGCCCATAAACATGGGAACAGGCTCTCGTCCCACTTACATCAGTGCAAATCAGTCGCGCCGAAATCACGGCTCTGCCCTTTAAACGTCTGGATGGGGCGTCAGGTCTTTTTAAACACAGCTTCTTTTCTGTAAAAGTGAGCAGAATTCACGCAGGGTAGCGCAGGAGTCCTGGGATGGCTCGTCCGGGTCCGACCCACATCCCACCCAGCCTGGAGCCGGCAGGTCGGGAGGATCACGGACATTCACCATCCCCTGCGGAGGCTGCGGCGTGAAGTTCTCCCTGGCCTGGCCTTATCTTTGAGCTCTAAAACATGATCCAGGATCCCTTTTCTGCAGACGGTGTTAATTTTAACAAGATATTCTCGGTAGCTGGCACAAACGGCTGTCTTTGTTGCTTTTGAAGCTGCGGCTGGGAATTAGGCAGCGAGCCTGACCGCGCTTTCATCGTGAGGCATCTTCCTCGTCTGATGCAATTAATTCTGACCTTTTGAAGGCAGGGCCGGAGGGAGGAGTGAGACCTTCCAGCCGAGCAGCTGACATAGCTGGCAAAAAGAAAAAAAAAATACACAAACTTTTGGGAGCCCAAACCTTCCTGTGGGCTGGGAAATTTTCTCCCTTTGTACCCGCAGAGCATCATCACGCGCGCGGCTTCTGCAAAGTCTCCCTTCTACCGATGGCTTCTCCTGCCTCCGCTCCTTGACAGGGTGGCAAGATGCCTCCAAGGGCCTCTTCTTCCCGGAATAAGCAGGAAAGAGCGGATGCAGGATAGGGAGGCTTCTCCCAAGAGTCGCTGGTGAATGAGGGACAGCTGAGATGCGGCTGATTCCAGCTTCCCGGCAGCACCCTCCCTGCGGGCGAGCAGGTGCCCGGGTCCCTGTCCCGAGGGAGCTCCGAGGGAGAAACGGGCGTTTTTCGCTCTGGAAGTGTCTTGTAGGAAGAATTGTTTATCTCAACCCAAACCCCTTCCCCTCCCCGAACATCAGTGACGGAGCAGAACCCAGGAGCGGCGCAGAGGCTGGTGTGGGGGATCGCTGGGTTCCAGTCTCTTTGCCAGCAAGTTAGTGACGATGCTCCATCGAATTACCGGTATTTTCGGTACCGCCGGGGCAGCTCTTCCCCAGCCTTGTCTCGCAGGGGGCACCAGCAGCTCGGTGCCAAGCGCCATCCCCCCGTACCAGCTTATTCTCCTCACCGCAGTGTGGTCCTCACCCGTAACGAGCTTTTGTGTTAATTACGACGTTTGCTGGCTCCTACCAAAGCTGCTGCTTGCCTCGTCCTCCTGCTCAGCGCCCCCTCGCCCTGATATTTCCTCTGCCTTCAGTTCATAACCTCTGCTTTCTGCACTTAGCACAAGCTTAAATAACTCAGTAGCTCCTACTCCTTCTATTCCCTTCACAATCTTTTCCTCGCCACTGTGTGCTCCCCCTTTAATACTTTCCAAAGGATGCAGACCTACTTTTTTTTTTTTTTTTTCCCAGACTTTCTATTTAAGTTCCCCAAGTCCCTGAGTCATTCCAGTTGCCCCCTGCTGTGCCATTATCCATCTCTGTAATGTCCTTTTTCATATTTAGGTGATCAAATCTGGGCACAGCACTCCAGATGCACCCTTATCACTCGGTCCCTTATACCATATTAGAAACATTTCCTCCAACATGTGCTCGATATTTTCTATTTATGCTTTCTGGGCTTGGTTCAGCCGCGTGGCAGAGCAGCCCAGACCACTGGCACAGCCCCTGTGCTCACATCTCCCCCCTGCAAAACGTGGTTTTACCAGCTTTAATTATCCACGGGGGTCATATCACGGAGATGTCCGTGTCGTGACATCTGGATTCACCCCCGTTTTGGTGCTGTGCCATCAGAGCAGCCTCCTGCCTGAAGCCTTCGGTTCGGGAGCATGTTTTAACAGTCATCTTGTACGCTTAAAAACCAGGAATCTGGGGGATTTTGGGTGTTTCTTTGGTGCTCCAAAAGATCAGCTGGTTGTGCTGGGACAAGTCGCTTCCCCAGTCTGCACAGTGGGCAGAGCAGCATCTCCTCCGGTCGCGGGGCTCTGCAAGAGCTTGGCATCAGGCTTGCCTGGTCTCAAGGCGGGATGCTTTCTGCCACTGCGGCAGGGACCCATCTCCAAATTTTTTGGGGTGGAAAATGTCATTCTGAGATGGCAAAGACGGAAATATTTCATTCTGGAAACGCTGCTGTGATGTTTTCCAGAAAACCCACGCACACATCGAGGCCAGGGCGGTCCCCAGCCTTGGCACCGTTTGCCAACAGCCTCATCAGCCTGAACCCACGGCTTTCAGCACATTTGCCTCCCCCCCCCAAATAAAGGGGAAAAAAGAGTTTGCTGGCTCACATTCCCTCCTCTTTCCGCAGCAGACTGTGATCACAGGCACCGAGCAAAGGCTCTGCCTTCCCGAACTCACAGCTTGATGGGAAGATTGAGACCTGAGCTGTCAGGTTGTGTCATCCTGCAGGAGTCTGACCTCCTGGCGACAGGGCGTGATGGCAGATCTTTGCTTCCCTGCTCTCCTCCCATCCCTGTTCCTGCTCCAGTGCTCCCAGTAGAGCAGTCGGTGCTGTTTGCTCGCTGAGCGGGTCCCTGCTCCAATGATTGCGATCCCCCGCTTGGATCCTTTAATTAATAAACCAACGTGGCCGTCACCTTCCCCAGCAGCATCCTCCCAGAGGCCCCGTGCAAACCCTCGTGTTCACGAACAGCATCCCTCTTCCACGGCCTCTGGCGTGGCTGTCACCACGGCAGGGCCGGTGCCACGTGTCCCCTCCCTGACCAAGTTACGGATGTCCACCTTGGGGACAGCTTGGTTTGAGCCTGAGAAGGAGATGAGGGACCTGGGAGAGAGGGAAGGCATCTTTGGTTCCCTTTGTGGTAGTAACCAGCTTTAATTCAGGGGTTTCTGAAACAGAAACATTTACCAGTGGGTTTTCATGTCTTTATTGACGGGTATTGCATTTATCGATTGACCAGCCCCTTTTTCTTGCACTACCCCTTCAGCCTCTGCCTTTTAACTGAAATGCGAAACAAAATACCACCAACATTTCCTTCCTTTCCCCAACAACTCCCAGCCCCTCTCCACCACCCCAACAGTTCCCTATTTAATGCCCTGTCACCCTGACCTCCCTTTTTTTTTCTTCCCCAGGAGGTCCCCGGCGGGATTACGCCAATTACTACCAAGGCATATGGGACTGCAGCGGCGAGCACCCCGACGAGCTCTCCTTCCACCGCGGAGACCTCATCTACATCCTGAGCAAGGTAAGAGCATCGCTGGCAGCCCCACGTTCACCGTCATGGGGCCGGGGCTCGGTGGCAAGGTCAAAAGCTGATGAAATCGGTAAAAAATCAAGGTCCAAAGCAGAGTTAAATGAGCAATTTCAGGGAGGGGAGGAGCAGGATGCCGGGGGGACCCCCTCCTCCGTGACTGCCCCATCGATGCCACTCCTGCCCTTCACACGCGGCGTTTCGAACGCCCCAAAGCAAGATTGTTTTATTATTTTTGTTGGTTGTTTTTTTTTTTTATTTTTTCCGTGGTAATGGAGTCTGTACGTGCTGTTGCTCAGGTATTACAGGGGTAATTGAGTTGCTCAGCCGGGTGTGACCAGGGCTCCCTTCGGCAAGCGCACGTAGGTGAATAAATTAAGTGTTTGCATTAGCGAGGCTCTGCGGGGGCAAGAGCAGAGCCAGCCGGGCCTGTGACCCTCTCCCACCCTGCTTGTCCCCGCAGGGCTCTGTCCTGCCTCCCAGCTGGTCCCCGCCGGACCGCGGTGGCCCCGGCT